ATTCGATTCAGCGTCGTCGAATTACCATTATATCAAATTTTAACAAGGCCGCTAAATTTTCCAAGTTCTCCTTTTGTTGCCTGGACTATTTGAAGAGATTTATTGTAAAATATTAAGTGAATAGAATGCAGCTGCAAGTAACAAGAAATAATCAAGACCAGAATCTGTAAAAAGGTAAACATAATAATCTTATATAAGAAAAAAACAAATATTATATTACTCTTGAAAAATATTTATTTTCCAAACGCTGTTTAAATGTTGTATACCTTGTGCATTGTGAGTTTCGTATATAGAGTGTTTAAAATAAATAGGTGACTTACGACTGGTGAGCGTTGTGACGGTTAGACCGTCCAATAATGGCATGAGTCTGCCGCCAAACAATAACGAATAAACTTAAAGCATTGTTTATTTACTCTGGATTCATTAATTGGCACTTAACTCACACCATATATGTACGTACGAGTGTATGTACATAATAGTCTTAACCAATAGTTAATGATAATTTTAAACGTTTTATCGGCGATTGGTATACTTGATTGAAATGTTGACAAAATTATAATTATCACCGTAACGATTACCAACTTGAATAAGATAAATCTATGTTGTGTCAAGTATGTATGCTTCTTAGAAAAGTACAGATCTGAGTTATATATTCCTAACGAGCTCGACATTGTAACGGTCCGTTTTTCAAATTTGAAAGTCGTTTCTGTATATATATATAGATTTATGTAAATATTCTACTTTATAACCAATAGATATGTATTTTAGCTATGTATATTTCATTATTTTTCGTATTTTGTTCGGTTAGACAATAACAAAGTTAAAAAAGAAGAGCGACAAGAAGATAAGGGAAATATTCTTAACCTTAATTTATATTTACGTGAAAATCAGTTTAAATAAAAACGATATGGCGAATGATAGCTATAATACAAAATTACATTTAAAAGTAATACAAATAACAGAAGAAAATGCTACTCTCAGAGAAGAAAATGCTACTCTCCGAGAAAAGATGGCCGAATTAGACAATAGAAATTTAATTTTGGAGAAGCAACAGAATTATTTTAAACGTCAATTGTATGTATTTAATATCATATTTTTGTATACTTATTGTACTAGAAAGGGTTTTTAAAACCATATAATTATCTAAGTAATTTTCTAAAGTATGATCTTAAATTGATCGAAATTAATTGAATAGGATGCCTATTTAAACTTCATACAGAAATCTGAAGTCTAAAGTCTAAAAAAGGCTGATCTTTCTTCATTTTTTCTCAAGCTCTCATGTTTTTCTTTCTTCGTCCAAACGTTTTCCTTCCCCAATCTTACGCATATTTCGGAAACGATCTGTGTATATGTTACCATTAAAGCGTGAAATCCTTCATTTCATAGGATAAATGTTTAATTTGATAATTTTTCATTAAATATCCAAAGAGACCGATTAAAGTATGAAATAAGCTAGAAATGTATACTTAAACCAGTTATTTTATGAAATAGCGAGGTGCGATTAGTTGAAGCATAAAATACAAATTTTATGTCAATTATAAAAAAATATTCTTCAATTTTGTTTCACATGTTTTAACGATGACATATATAGGTGTGAGTCATAGTCTAGTCATTTCTAAGCCAGAATCGTTCCCTGAGTTCCTAATGTCTTTTGACGCGCCCGTCAGACAAATCAGTCCTTGAGTTTTATTCATCGATTATTTCGCAGAGAGCGAATCCACGAGAATAATAGTGAACTACAACGAGATTATGATGAACAGAAAGACACATTGGATGAAGTAAAAAGAAAAGAAAAAGAAGCCAGTATAGCCCTCAAGAAGTCTTTACAAGAGCAACAAAGATTACTTGAGAGATTAGAGACGGCTGAATTAGAGGTTGTAATGTATATAATCGTTTTTTTTAGACGAGAAAAATCTTATGAATTCATAATTAAAACTCTTTTCGTGCACTTGCAATTAGGTACTACAAATTCCAAATCTAAAGGATAAATTAAATGAAATTACGAATGAAAGAGTCGAATCTATGAAGATGAATGCCGAAATAGTCGAGAAATTAGAGAAAAAGCATATCGAGTATGAGTCATTGCTTATATCGATTACAAACTTGACAAAGGCAAATGATAATCTTCGAAATAATTATGAAGCTCGCGAAAATGTAATTGAAGTAAGCAGACCTACATTTTCCTCGTATGATTAAAATGTTTTAATAGAATTATTAAAAGATAATATCTATATCTATCTTGCAGATGCTACGCGAAAATAATCGACAACTAGAAGAGGAAAATACGGAATTAAAATTATTAAGAAGCGTGGATACCCGTACTTCTATTGACCGAGTGAGTTCAATTTCCTTTTTCATTAATCGAATTCCGTATAAATATGTAAAAATCTTTAATTGTATTGACAGCACTCTTAGTACTTATCTGATACAAGAGGATCTTAGTAAGTTGCACATGTGTTGTTTGAATAATAAATTATCTCTCTCTCTCTCTCTCTCTCTCTCTCTCTCTCAACATATTTAAATGTCATATAGTACATTTTACCATTCTTTTAATTATTTTATAAATTCTTCATTGTTATCTTCGCTAGATTTTATTAAAGACTTAGTTACATAGCGGGGGGCATTACAAATATTTCGCAGTGTTTTTCATTGGAATCTCTGTAAAATTTCAATATGTAATAATCTGTAATAATCTTTATGTTATGTTTTTTCCTAACTTCGTTTAACTAACTCTATATTAATGGATTTAATTCGTAAAATAAATAAATAATACAAATTTTCTAAATTAATTTACAGCTGTTACATTCCGACGGGGAATCATATTGCACGATACACGATTCGCCCTACACTATATTCAACGATTCAAACCATCAAGATTCCCTCTATGACGAATTGAAAGCATCTGTAAGTAGAAAAGCTTTATTGTCTATTAATTTATACAAAAAGAAGTATAACTTCAAAAAAAAAAAGAGGAAAGAAGAAGATAAAATCAAAGATATCCATTTAAATGCGTAGATAAACAATTTTTCATATTATTAATTCGTGCGCGTGTGCGCGTGTCGCGTATGCGTTTGTGCTTTTAGGGTATTGCGAATATGTGCAGCTGGAATGATACGATAAGTCGCGAATTGAAAAAGGAAGTGCAATGGTACGAATTAGAAATTCATAAACTTATACAACTAACTGAAAGGTGAATATATTCATTAATTTCTACTAATGATATGCGCGCGATATCAAGGAGAATATTCAAGATACCGAGATACATATATTTTTCTTTCTGATTTATTCAAGTGTTTTCCAACAATTGGTATTGGCACAAAACGAGAAATGTGTTAATTTTAAGCAAAATGTAATTGAGAGTTCTGAAAAGATGAACAATTTGGAAATCCTTAGACAAAGGATACAAATTCTACTAGATACGGTTAGTCATGTAAAGCAAGAAAATAGGACAATCAGATCGTTATTAAAATAAAAATGTATTTTAATAGGTAAACGCAAGATTAGAAACCGATATTCAAATACCAATACAAAACTCTGGAACAAGAATAAATATGTGCGATTTGTCTACTTTAAACTCTAACGAAGATCATGTAGAATGTTTGTAAGTAAATTAATTACACAATAATATATGTAAAAAACGAAAAAAGTCTTAGAGATTACAAATGTTTACTATCATCTTCTAATTATTTAATTTTAGTTTGAAAAAAGATCAAATAATTATGTCTTACGACGATATCTCGAATGAAAAGCAAGATCCTAAAGTAGTAATGGTGTCGGAAACTAGCAATATCGATCCAATCATACAAATATTCCATCAAAATGTTCGACCCGTTACAAGTTCGCACCCAAGTCCAATAAAAAACTCGACGGAAAATGTCAGGTTAGTGCAACAAGACAGCTTAGGCTTTCTATCATATCTAATATATACATATTTATTTCGATTAATTATTAATTATCTATTATTATTTATATCTTGTAGTTTAATCTCATTGGAGAAAAGTATAACTCTATGTACATCAACGATGTGTCAGGATACCCCTAACGACGCTTCCAAAATAAAAAACGATATTTTTGGCCATAGTAACAAAGATTACTCGGATACCATCGCTCGAATATGTCCCGATAAATCTTCCCCAAATGGAAATAATATGAAGGAAAATGAAAAACTACAATTTATGGATCATATATCCTTACCAATAAACTTTCCAGCTACATTCCAATCAGTTACTATTGAATGTAATTTTTTTCTTTATATATATATATATGTTAGCGTTAAAACATGAAACTCGTTTATTCGTGGAATAACTAGCTATTTAACATGAAATAACTAAACTGACCAGTTAAAGTGTCGAAGACAAAAATACATGTTTTTAACTAAGTAAATACATGAATTCGCGAGAGGCGGGTAATTAAATTATGAAATTGAAACTTGAACTTAAGTATATGAAAAACATATTTTAATTTCGTTTCAAAATTTCTGCTTGTATTACACTGTTGTAAATCTAGAAACAGGAAATATGTGTTTCTTTATTTTAAAATCTTCCAAACGAAAGTATCTAATCTCGAGATAAAGTTTCTCGGTTGATTATATTAGATTTCTTTCGAATATTATAAATACAAAAATAAAATAAACGCAAACACTCTGAATCCTCGTAGATTAGTTTTCGTGTCCTCTTTCTGTGCTTAAAGAATAAATTTTCTATTAGTCGTGCCGTTCTGTCGACTTTGAACCTTCGTACGTAGTCATAAAATATATATCTCGTTATTTCCTCAAACTAATAGTTTTGGTTTATAATCATATTATTTTTATTTGCTTGCCCAAAAACGCCTAGTTATTTCGGATAAGACCTAGTGTTTCCACAATTTAACGCTGACATATATATACAGTGTATGTGTCTATATATATACAGACACAGTGTCTGTATATATATAGACACATACTAAAGAGGCTGTCGTTTTAGGCAATCGTAAATCAAAGTCCGAATCTAGTCTACTTCCTAAAAAGAAAGTTTTATCTTCTCGTTCGTTTAATGTTATTATTCCATTATCAGCAACGGAGAAAATGAATGAAGCTATTGAAATAAGAAAATCTTCCGGCAACTCAACTTGCGAAGAAACAGAAAAAGAAAACAAGTTTCAGACAGAATTTAAAGAAAAGGATGCGGAAAATTTAACAAACTCTCATGAATACAAATTCGGAGGTACCTATAGGTCTTTGAATGATAGTAGTGATTCTTCGGTTAGTTCATCATCTATTCGATCTGAAAACCTACTCCTTGAAGATTTTTCTTTAGACGGATTAGAACATTCTCTATATGAATTCAAACGCCCTGTCCTGATGGCTCCTACAAAATTGAAATTATTGTTACATAAAGTTACGTCGTTGGATGATGAAAATCAAATGTCAGATAGCAAAGAGTTGGTCAAATTTGTTTTTATCTTACAATATATTGCATAATATGAATATAATAATTAAATTTAAACTACATAATTTCAGAAATTTTCATGAATTACTAGATCTTCAGAACGGAACGGAGTGTAGAAATAACCTGGTGAAAAAAATAAAAAGGAAAAACCTAGAAGTTTGTAAAATCGGTAGTTTCAACTTGACCAAGTCGAATATTCGAAATGACAAAGAAATTGACAAAGAAATTGACAAAGAAACAGGATTACGGTAATATGCAAGTGATTATAAAGAAAACGCATATTTTTCATAATATTTCATCTTTATCTTTTTTTTTCTAGTAATTGTCTATTTCATTATTTGAAAAACATTTTGACTCCATCATCGTGGCGCGTGCTCATTTCCTATTTACTGGTTTTTTTTTTTGGATTCTATGCAATGAGTGGTTTTTTATCAACGAGTATAAACGTTGGGCCACCATACAAATGGTGGTCATTAGAAGAAATACTTAATCAATATTTCCCAATCGTAAACATGAGATTTCCGCCATTGTTGTGAATAAATATTGAATCGATTTATATATTTATATCAGCGGATATATTGTAAATATGCGTTTAAATATAAAGATTACACGCGTCTGATAGGTATATATTGTATTTAACACGTTGACTGCCAAACGTCGTTTGAATTCGGGAGACGTTTATTTGTCTACTTGTATGAGATCTTCTTGGATATTTAAAAAGATATTGAAACATTATCATTGATTAAAATATTTTTAACTCTTCTATATATGTTGTGTGTAATTAACAAAATATCCCATGAAAACCCATGGTCGATCCTCGCAAAGTATCAATTATGCTTTTAGACGACACCGCAAGGTGTTGCTGCTTGCGTTACTAGGTGCTAAAGACTTTCCAAAAGATTTTAGAAAGATTGCAAAAATAAGTGACCTTTAACATAAGAAGAAAAATCACATGTCAGATATGATAAACTTGACATATTCACAAAATAATGTTTTCATATGGAACGCCTACGGTAAAATGTTGTTTTTTTATTGTAACTGTATTATTATGTTATAGGTTACAATATCTTCAATTACTTCATACATTTTATTTCTTTATAAGCGATGCCAAGTACAAAAGCTTTATTCAAATTTGAAGATAACGATTACAATAATGTTTTCTTTGTTTTCATTATCTTCCCTCTTCTCGTATTCTTAAAGATTGGTTGACACTGCGGAAGGAGCATAGGATAATTGGAGAATTAGTAGGTTGTCTTGCAAAATATCCTCGGCAAGAAGTACTTTCAGGCCTTCCATTGCTTTTGTTTCCGGAAGAAGTTTCCCTTTTATTAGAAAAAGGAATTGCTCGTGTTGTTAAATATTCACACTTACAATATCCACCGAGTGAATCTTTAAAAGAAACTTTTGACCAATACAGGGAAATATTGTTTAAGGAACAAGAAAAGTGCTTAAAACAAGAAAAAGAAAAACAGGTATTTTCCAAACTATATAGTTTATATAATGAATCTTTAAATATAATTATTAAATTATTCTAGATTGTGTAGCAATGATGAATAAAATTGTAAAGGAAAAAAACGAAAGATATTAGGTATGAAGACAAATAAAAAAAAACTACGAAAACCTTTAGATAAAGATTCACAGGAAGCGTTAAAAAATATAGAAATAAATACTAAAGATCTCTTTGACGAACAAATGTCAAAATTACCTAAATTAGAAAAAAGTGAAGCACTTATACAGACACATACGGGTAATATGATGATATAATACAAAATGTTGGCGGCATGTCAACATTTTTAATACCAAATAAAAGTGGTATTATAGCGTTYACTTTGTTTATTAGCATATCCACAATGGAATAAGGGTAACTTTGAAATAGTTCAATGGAAATATCCCAATACATCACAAGAACAACTTCGATATGAAACATTTAAAGACCTTTGGGAACGAGGATACTACATAACAACTGGAGAAAAATTTGGTGGTGACTTTCTATTATATCCAGGTATCTATTTATAGTGTTACTCTCTTTATGAAATGCAGAAAGGTATTCATTGAATTGCAAAAAACTATAGCTCAAGACTGGTTGATAATAACAAAACAGTAAAACAGAATGAAAGTCTTGCATTGCTAAGGTAAAAGTGAAAAATCTCCTCAATCTGTTATCAAACAACTTTAAAGTAGGGATACAATATTAATTAATCATCATATTAATTAATTAGTCAACGCCTTAACCACGTTGGATTACTAATTCCCATCAGATCATTTAAGTCGGGCAAAGTAGATATGGTTATTAAAATGGGTGGTTGACCCATTTGGAAAATAAAACAAAGMTGAACTGTATGCTGTTGACTCATAAATAGATGATAAAAAGACGYGACTTATTTGATAATATTGAATAGGTGTGAGGAAGGTATTAACAGAGAAGTGACTCAAGCCCGTAAGAGGGAGAGAAAAAAAATTCACATGTGATATTATAATTATATGACCAAATTTATTAATCATTTTTCCTATTAATGCCATCGGAAAGAGCTCTTCACGTAAATCTATAATTCTTATACATATATATGTTCACAGGTGATCCTATTATGTTCCATTCTCAATTTATAATACAGTGCAAAAACAGAAGCGAGGAAATACCAATTACAGAACTTGTTGGRCAATRTCGTACAGCAAGTCATGTTAGAAAAGTACAAGTTTTTGCTACCTTCTCCGAAGATGGAAAAAGTGTAAAATATCAATCATTTAAGTGGGCTGAAAATAATAGATTTGAAAGCAGATAGTGATTACGTAAAAGTCTTAATTAATACTCGTATTATCATGTMAAGTAAATTTCTCTATCACATTAAAYATTTGTTGATTATAATTTTTAAGCATAAAAAAATATGAAATAATTGCACTATTTACTTTAGATGTCTTCGCATTAAAATAAATGTCCTACAAAAATGACTCAACTAAACTCTCAAATMTAAATGGTGTTGATTAGTCTAAAACGATTGTGCTGAGGTTTGGGTATTACATTGAAATGTTTCTTATAAATAGTTTGTCCTTCCCGATTCGCATAATTTATTTTCACCCAAGGACGATCCCAATTGAGATTAACCTTCTCACAAGTTACCATCACRTTTCCTGCCTYCATAGCAAACAATGTTCCATTTTTTCCACAACCAACCTAAAAAAGAACATAATAAACATGGTACAATATTCGAYCTATACTTTACAGTAAATATTTATAAAACATAGTTAACTTACATTTAGTCCAGGATGAAATCTAGGTCTCAATTGAGTAGCGAGCATTGTTCCTGCCTGTACAAACGCACCATCGCTCACACGCATACCTCTACGCTTTGGTTTTGTTTTAATARTTTTGTTTTTCGTACAGCTGCCAGCTTTCTTTGATGCATACCTGATGCATGATACTATTTAAAAAGGAAAAATATGAAATAAACAAAATGTCTTGTTCTTCTGGTCTTTGAATTCAGAATGAACATAAYCTTGAGAGTTTCACTACTTACCCCAATTAATAGACTTTGAATTTAATCCAAATTTAGTAAAATTTTGCGTAATGGATGAAATTATATTGGAAACAAGTGCCATTATAAAGTTTATATGACTATATTTGAAACGTAAAGAATGCTTTATCTGTTATTTTTATGACGATATGTATCAAAACAGATAGATATATATATATATATATATATTACGATACGTAATGCCATCTGTGTAGTTGGGGTATAAGAATAAAAAAAGAAATAAAGTTACTCTACACTTGAAAAAGCCACCGTGTTTTATTATAAACTAATTAATATATTTACCGAGGTATACATCATATATAACGATTGACGGTTTACGTAAATCGCCGCCAAACTTGGACTCGTGCGTTATTGGACGTAATGCACTTTGGGAATAAATATATTTATCTAATATGTTAAAGAAACCAATCAGGTTCTGATTATTCGAAGAAAATAATAATTCATGATGGCAATAATGATCTAATATATATCCAAAATACAAATATTACACTATAATTATTACATAATAAAAGTATTAGTTTTTATTTACATAATTATTACGTAAAATAATTGACGTTATTTATAATTTTTTTCTTTTAGTACTAGAGAGAGTAATTAATTTCACCCTTCGTGGTGCCTTTTTAGATATTACGGAAGATACATCCATTTTAGGGGATATATTATTTTTACTTGCTTTTGTATCATTATCGCTTTCTTCATTAAAAACTAGTTTAATATCTTCAGTTTCTTCCGTTGTTTCATCATTTTGACTTTTGTATCGATCTTTAATGGAATTGTACTCCGATAAATTATTATCATTTTGCTCCATTTTTTCATTATTTTGATAACAAGTCTTTTTACATTCATCATCTAAACTGTGCTTTGTTATTTCTTTATTATATTTTATAACATCAACATCCACTGCATTATTATCTATATCGAGAAGCAAAGTACTACCCTTCGTTTCAATTCTAGTAGACTTCGTTATAGTTTCGCTATTATTACTATTTGGAAGTTGAGATGGAGTCATTGTTGTACCTTTACCATCATCATACACATGGCCCAGTTCGTTTTTGGAAAAATGTATTATCGAACAATAACCATCTGTAGAAGATACAACCAAGATATGGCCATCACTAGACCTATAAAGAAAAATTTGAAAAATTAGATACGTTTGTAACATTAGAGGACAACAATGATTTGCATTCAAAGAAAAATATGATAAAATCTTTTACAAACCACGCAATGTCGGTCAATCTGGTGTAATGAATATTAGATATTACAGCAATTGGAGAAATTTGTTGAGTGTCGTAAATTAATATCGAATGTTGTGTTGCAACCGCAAATATTATTCTATAAGGTAATGCTATCATAGGAGTGGGTCCATCTTTTCTGAGTTCAAAATAAACAGGACAACATCGAATTGCTATTGTAGATTCATCCAAAGAAGGCAATATCATTATTGGCCTAAAAATAAATACAAATGTTGCTATAATAGGGTAGCATCAAGGTTGCTTCTTTGGAAAATAACGCATTTTTGCGTATTCAAATACCAACTCTTTTAAATTATGCCTTGAAAAGACAATCGTCGCATTTGATGTTTTTTCTATGGTATCTTGTGGTTCTATTATACCAGATGGAACAATTATCAATGTCCCATCTATGGAGAAGGTTAATCTTCTAAAAAATGATTTAAATGTATCGTCATAGAATAATCTAACTGTTTTGCCTCGCAAAGGATAATCAAATGGTGTAGGAATATTAGACTTGTGAACGCGCTGTACTGTCTTTTTTGTAGAGATATCGACTAATCTGCACTGCCTAAAATAAATCAAATAATTTATTACAATTAATAGGTTGTAAGAACCATATGGAGTATTAAACTTAATGGGAAATACTATAACATATATATATAAAGCTATTATTAAATATATTATATATATCAAATATATATCTCTAATGTGTTTGTAGATACCTATCGCTGCTTATTGTACATATATATTGATTACAAGGATCCCAGCTAACACCTTGCACAAATCCTTTTGAATCTGATAATATACCATTGCTACGACCTTTATTAATATCCCATAGAATTGCTGTATTATCTACAGAACCAGATATTATGGAAGAAGAATCTGGCGACCAACAGATATCATAAACATCTTCTAAATGGCCTTTCAACACTTTCCACGAAGTCCACTGTTCTTTATTCTCATTGTCATTGGGAGAGATAAAAAAGTCACATTCCTCCTTCTGCTTCCATAAAATGATGATAGATTCTATAGAAATAAAAAACAAATCTTTGTTTATTTTTTATCATTTCATCTCATTTTACGATGAGCAAATTTCTACATAGACAATATTATTTTAAAGAATCAAAATACCATCGTCTGCTGAAGCAAGAATTTCTCTAGATGGTGAAAATCTGACAACATTTACTGCTTTTTGATGTCGTTCCAAGTCTGCTACACATTTGATCATTGTCGCACTATTCTCGCATGTCAAAAGATGCCAAATCTAAATATCATTTGGTATATATAACTCATTCTTATTATTCATTTAATCATTTAATCTATCTAATTTATTTCAATAATTTTACCAAAACATGGGAATCTGCTCCTCCAGTAGCTAGACGCCAAAACTTTTCACTTGTATTATTTACACAGGGTTTATTTTGTATGTCGATGCTCAAAACTGGATCTCGATTATGCCAAGAAATTTCTGGAGTAGTGCACTTCATCTTTTAAGCGTTAATAATTAATTTAATTTCTCCAAAACTTAAAAGCCCAGAGTATTCTGATCTATATAGAGTATTATATACCGCCAAATCTAAAACAAGGATTATATTACCTATCTAAGATAGACAATGATATTTCCAAAATAGAGACGCAAAACGATTAACCTCAAACCAGTGCTACCAATATCCGACAATTAACTCAAAAAGACCTAATGTTCCTAGTATATTTATTTTGTCTATATATATCTTCTACGAATTAATTTTATCAATCCGATTGATTCCATCAAATACGCTTTAATTCGTATTTGCTCGACTAAGTTTATTGTTGGATTTACAAAGCAATATTCATATACTACTGAATACATTGGAGTAAAAATTGTACGATTATACTAAAGGGTAGTTAACGGAATTAGGTCTTAGCGATACTTTTGTCGGAACGTAATCAAATTTAACACGTATTGCTACGTTATTAGGTTTCTGGATAAGAAGAAAAAGAGTTATAATTTGTGATAGAAAATGTTTACCTTTATAAAAACTGTTTCAAAGATAGAACAAGGATTTAAGGTTTATGGTACGTTGTTATGTTTTATAAAAAAAGAATTTATTTTTTTTAGCAAAATAACAAACTATTTGACATGTAAAAAACTTAAATGATAAATCAAATCGTTTCTGACTACAGCAAAACTCAAAGCTCAAAGTTCAACATGAAGCATATATATGGTGCACACGTGTGTGTGTGTGTGTGTGTGTGTGTGTGTGTATGCGTACTGTGAAAATTTAAAAATTCAAATGAATATAATTATTGTACGTGATTTTTCCTTTTATGACCAAGTATTCGTGAAATTTGTATCGCTAAATCATGACAATTAGGCCGTTTTTACTAGATTTATTATTAAAAATAATGAACTCTTATGTGCTACAGGTTCTATCTACCCAAGATCCTGGGAAGTCCAGATAAATAAAAATTATACAACAAAATATGATTCAAATTCGAAAAATATAGTATTTGTAGACGGTGTACGTACACCTTTTCTTCAATCTGGAACGCAATACAAAAATCTTCTGTCGTACGATCTTGCTAGACATTCTTTATTGTAAGTATACATTCTTATCTAACAATTAAAATGATAATTTTCCTTTCTTATTCGATTAATTTCTTTATTCTAGGAGTTTAAAAAGAAAGATAGGCTTTCCTAATGAAGCTATAGAATATATTTGTTATGGTACCGTAATGCAGGAAATAAAAACATCAAATATCGGTCGTGAAGCAGCTTTAGGTGCAGGTTACAGTGAACATACACCAGCGCATACGATTACAATGGCTTGCATTAGTAGTAATCAAGCTATAACCACTGCTATGGGTTTAATTGCATGTGATACCTATGACGTGATTGTGGCTGGAGGGGTTGAATTCATGTCAGATATACCAATAAGACATAGTCGTCCTATGAGAAGCTTGATGTTGCAAGCCAATAAAGCAAAGTCTATTGGACAGAAATTGTCTCTTTTAGGATCCATTAGGCCGTCACATTTTGTACCAGATGTTAGTTGCAATTATCTTCTTCCTTATATTCTTTTCATAATTATACATTAAAATTTTCAAAATCATAAATCTATTTTCAGTTGCCAGCTGTGGCGGAATTTTCTAGTGGTGAAACAATGGGACATAGCGGAGACCGTTTAGCAGCAGCATTTGCGATAACACGAAAGGAAGAAGACGAGTATGCATTGAGATCTCACACATTAGCTGCGCAAGCACAGAAACAAGGACATCTTTCAGATGTAGTGCCTTTTAAAGGTATGTAAGAGAGAAAACAAAATTTTGCTTTTATAACGTTAGGTTTGTAGTTCCAGGCATAGAAGAAGTAATAAACAAAGATAACGGAATACGCGTCTCAACGCCAGAGCAATTGGCAAAATTGAAACCTGCATTTGTTAAACCATATGGGACTGTAACTGCAGCTAACGCATCCTTTTTAACTGATGGTGCATCTGCAGCTTTAATAACGACAGAAGAAAAAGCTCGTTTATTGGGTCTCAAGCCGAAAGCATATTTACGAAACTTTACTTATGTATCTCAAGATCCAGTCGATCAATTACTCTTAGGTCCTGCATATGCTATTCCCAAGGTTTATAGATATATAATGCATGCATATAAAAAAAACACCTTATTAAGTTTACCTGACGCAAAAACATAACATTTATGAATTTATAGGTATTAGAAAAATCAAAGTTAAATGTAAAGGATATCGGTGTATGGGAAGTACACGAGGCATTTGCTGCACAAATATTAGCTAACCTTAAAGCTTTAGATTCCGATTGGTTTGCGCAACATTATTTAAAGAGAAGCAAAAAAGTAGGTGTTCCAGAGCTTCAAAAGTGGAATTCATGGGGTGGATCTCTTTCAATTGGTCATCCGTTTGCTGCTACAGGAATTCGCTTAGTCACTCATACTGCTAACAGGCTTATCAAAGAAGATCAACAATTTGGATTAATTGCAGCATGTGCGGCTGGTGGACAGGTGAATTTAAATAATACACATTCGTATAATTTATTTTTACTATTGTATAAATTATCGAACCGTTATATATTGTACATGTGTATATTGTTTTAGGGAGTGGGGATGATCATCGAAAAACATCCTGATGCTAAAATTTGATGTAAATAAATCGTGCTATATAAAAAAAAATTAACGTTAATACGAATATATTGTACAGACAAATATTTTTATATTATGTTATCTGTGTTGAAATATTTTTTCTTCCTTTTCGTTATCTTTCGTATCATATTGATATTTCTCTTCTATGTCTCTCTTAGAGAAATGAGCATATCTTCCTTTTTCTATAATACATATTATTACAAAATATAGTAGAAAATTATATTATAATTTATATTAGTAGAATAAATATTTCTTTATTTTACTCTAATCCAATGTAACGTTACACAATGATGGAAGCGAATGTATCGTTAAATGATGTCGTACGGCACAATCTAAGATCGTTCTTATATCTTGACATCCAAGCAAAGCACGCTGTTTTAATGCTTCCAAATGCGATAAATGTAACCTTTGACCTGCTCCTTGCGCAACAACTATCAATCCAGAATTTTTTGATGCATTATCATTATTTGTTTCAGGTAATGCAACGATAGATAAAGTTACACCTGATGCGCATTCTTCTATAAAATTTGCATCTAATACACTTGTGTTACTGACAGCTTTTTCCTCTCCATCCGTATACGAAGAATTGACTAATGTTATTGTACATCCTATTGCATAATTCTAAAGGGTGATTGAGGAAAAAAAGAGAAACATACATACATACATATATATATATAGCATAAGCGAGATACATATAATAATTTACTCCAACAATGACATACTTTTATAGGTATTCCAGCGTCGATCAGTGCCAAAGTAGCTGCATTAACGGATGCGCAGTAGTCGCTTCCATCGACTTGTAAAACTTCCACAAAAATATCTATCTGCGAGCGTGGATACAATTCCAAATGTATTATAACTTCCATCGCACGACGTAATTCAAGGGATCTTTCTTGTGATTTACGATCACCTCGTGGTCTACGTTTCCGTTCCCCAGACATGAAGCTAAATACTGCTACGCTATACTGACAATTTACAACAGCTTTGCTACTGTTACTACCACTTCTTCCTGTGCCTCTAGGCTACAAAATTTGAAGTTTTTGGTGTTTTTTTTTCTTTTTTAATTTAGACGATTTATTTACGTATTATACGATTCATTTCACTAAAGTAATAATTGAAATTGTTGAAATACCTGATGAGGCCCGTACACTGCCGCCAAAATTTTGGTTTTACCATGCTCTATGTAAGCACTTCCATCAGCTTGGCCAAAAACACCCAATCTTACGCGAATTTGTCTCAATTCTAATGGACGTCTACCATCTACTCGCAAACCACCTTGATCTGCTTCAATATCTTGTTCTATCATTTTATTTAATATTAATTTCTGTGACAATTTTTTGGATTTTCAAATCGAAATAATTTCTATACGTATTGTTGAATAATACCGATGTAAACATACATATACAACGTATAATTAAGCTTAAAAGGCATCGATAAAGTAAAATATAGAAGGTATTGGTTGTGTGCTCCCGACTAACAATATAAAATAACCATTTTTTTTTCTTTTTTTAATATTTCCTAAACTGTACTAGTTACATTTCAAGATTAACTAGGACAAATGGCCGAAAACTAGTTCATATGACCACCTTACTTTTGGCCAATCGACGATATGGATGTAAGAATAGAGTTATAGATAAATTCGTGAAAATGTCGCTAACTCAGTCGCTAACTTTGACAAGTAAACGCGTGATATTTGTTTTAAGTGGTATAGCAAACTTTGACGCAACCCTGACAGTAAAGCGACTGAAGTATAGGAAAATGGTTAAATATCTAAATCAATCAGAAGCAATCAACATTGATAAGGATCTATTTGAAAAATATAAATTTAGCGTGGATCAATTGATGGAATTAGCTGGTCAAAGTTGTGCCATAGCAATTGCCAAATCTTATCCATTGTTGGACAATTCTGCAAACAGAATTTTAGTTTGTTGCGGACCAGGAAATAATGGTGGCGATGGACTAGTATGCGCTAGGCATTTGAGACATTTTGGTTATTCTCCTGACATTTATTATCCGAAAGAAACCAAGAACCAATTGTACACAAATCTGTTGCATCAATGTAGAGAAAATGATATAACCATTTTAGGAAATGAATTTACAAAAAATAAGCATGTCGTTGGTTCTTTAAATGAATACCGAATTATAGTTGATGCTTTGTTTGGATTTAGTTTTAAACCTCCTGTAAGAGATATTTTTGTTCCTATTATGGAAATATTGAAAGGCACATCTATTCCTATATGCAGCATAGACATACCTTCAGGATGGGATGTTGAAAATGGTCCATCTGAAAAGGATGATATATGTCCAGAAATGTTGATATCCTTGACAGCGCCAAAAATGTGTGCCCACAAGTTTAAAGGAAATTTTCATTATCTAGGCGGCAGATTTGTACCTGAAAAGCTATCATTAGCTTACAATCTTAATTTGCCAACATATCCAGGAACTGATTTAATCGTATCTCTGTAAAAATAAAATTCTATAGGAATTGACAAGTTGTGCAGTGTTTTATATAGATTAATATATTAAATCTTCCTCTTTACGTCCTTGAAATGTTCAGCGTCAGTCTTATAGAAATTATTATCCAAGAACGTCTCTAACTAATTTGAAAATACATAAATGAATGATATATTAGCAAAATCGCATGAAACGAGACAGATGTAGCGTAACGATGTTACTCTTATGTACAATATTATTATCTACTCGTTTCATATACGTCTCATATGCATGCATTATAAATTAACATTATGAAATATAGTTATTACAAAGTAGAGAAATGCAATACGTAACTATACATTGCTTTATATATATGTTCATTTGATAGATTTGAATATGATCTACGTATTGGCGCCATACGTTGGCGCAATATCAGTTTAGTTTCAAATCTGAGTATCGTCTATTTAATGGTTCATGTATTCTATGCGCGATACATCCATCTACATATTACTTACGATAAAGAATTTTCGGGGGCAAATTAGTTGTTGCTACGGGTTTAATTACTGTTGATTACAATCGATTCTGTCGATTACTATACCGAATTAAATCATCTATTTTTTAACAGTAACTTCTTCAGTAAATAATTGTTTAATTGTTGTGTGTTATGCTAAAAAGAACAATATAAATTGACGACATGGTAACTTAATAATTCCGCATAAATAAAAAAAATTGTATTATATAAATGTTCATGAGTAAATATAAATATTAATTTGTTGTTTAAGGCACAAGAAGTCGAGGAAACCATGAAACGTATACAATCTCATAAGGGCGTTGTTGGGTCTATTGTAGTAAATGCAGAAGGTTCGTATCCGTTTTGATGTTGTATTAAATGATATTTTTTCCGAAATTTCTACTGTTACAGGAATTCCAATTAAATCGACATTGGATAATACAACGACCGTGCAATACGCGGGCCTGATTAGTCAATTGTCAGACAAAGCACGTTCTGTGGTTCGTGATCTGGATCCAACGAATGATTTAACTTTCTTGCGTGTTCGTAGTAAAAAACATGAAATAATGGTTGCTCCGGACAAAGAATTCATCCTGATAGTTGTACAAAATCCAGTTGATTGATATTTGCAAAAAGGAATTGCATATTATAATCCTTCGGCAAATTTTCATTTTTGGTTTCTATCCATTATTTCATTTTTTATTTAACATATTACACCTATTAATTTTATTATTAATTTATTGATTAAGTATTTATTAATTGAGAGAGCATAAATATATCATATATATATATATATATATATATATTCTTAAAAAATACAAACAAAATTGATTACAAATATATAAACACACACACACACACACACATTAGATAAAATATTTAATTATCATTATATACGTTTAAAAGATTGGCTTAACTTACACGTAAAATGCGGCTTGTTGATGTCTCTTAGATATTAAATGAAAATCTTATGTGGTGGTCTTATTATAAAATATTAATTAATGTCATGTTTATCTTCTCTTAATCCGATTTTTAATCTTAACTCTTACTTTTAATACCACTTCTTAATGATTACATTACTTATAATAGTTGCAACATTTGGAATATTTGATTGTTCTTCTTTTATATGTCTAAATATTATATATCAAATGAATATAAAAAATAATAAATTATTATAGAATTTTAGGCGTGCTCTAGGGCGTGCTCTAGGGCGTGCTCTAGGGCGTGCTCTAGGGCGTGCGCGGACGTGTTTATTTAACAATGAAAGATAATAATGAAAAGTTATAGCTATCTACGTAAATATTATCTACCTAAACATTATCGAAAATCAATCTTCATTTCTTAAGCTCGATTGTGGCTGATTCTTTTTAGCCGGGTGATAACGCATATAATAAAGAATCATGGCAGTAATACCCAATAAGAAAGACACTGTACAAGGAAAAATGTATATAAAAAAGTACCATGAATTTTTGGCTTCTATAGATAAATTTAACATCCAAAGAAGATTTGCGATAACATTCTCGCAAAAGCATAAGCCATAAAAGAATATATGTTTTACACGAGTATTGCCGTCTATAACATTTAAATATACAAATATGTGGACTAGACCAATGACCAATGCAAGAAGCATGGAATAAACTCGTTCTGTTATCGTTGGTGCAATATGTGGTGCACGATTATTTTTGCGACAAAATTGTAATATACCATGAGAATCGATCAAGATCCAAATTGTCATGGCAATCCAATGACAGATGCAAGCGATAGCGGTGTATAACGGCCATATACTAGCAATGAAACTCACCATTAAAATTCTTGAGACTGTAATCAAATGACGAAGTGAGAATGATATCTTCTGCATAATCAATAACTAACACATCTTATTTCTTACTAAACATACCTGTAACGCAAAAATGCCACAAAAATTGACATATGTTACCTTGAATGCTTATTATTTCCTTATCAAATTGGGCTAATCGAATACTGCGATTATAACTCGCCATTGCCCAACCCATACTGGCTAAAGAACTAATAATACTTCCAATTTGATGTATAACTAGAAAAAAAGGAAAAACGAAAAAGAGATAATATAGACCTGTCATATTATGCAATGCCTTCAAAGAATCAAACATAATTGGAAAAAAGAAATACATTCAAGATTAATGTCGCTGTTATAATGCTTCAATAAAATGGTTAATTGTAAAACTTGTTGAGGTGCTGCTTCAAGAAAGCATTCAAATATTCTCAAAAGTGCAACATCTTGATCTTCCTTCAGCATTTTAAAATAATATTGTTTTTGGCCATTTCTATCTCCTATTTTTTCACACTTACGTGCCTTCAAAGCATAAATCAAAGTATCGTAATAATGTACCACGGGTGCTAATTGGAAAACCACCGCCAAGATGCAACATACTTTCTTTCTTGTCATCATTTGCGCAGACTTATGATTTTCTAATTGCATCAAGTCTGAATCTATCTGCGATAAAAGATATATGTAAGTATGAGCAAGTCATTTTAATCAAGATGTAATACAGATACAATCATTTAATTTACCTCTTCATCTTGATGTTGCATTCTTCTGCTAATAATTACATTTATGAAAGATGGAATAAGTAGAAAAGAAAGAGTCCAAATAAAATATATTGTTTTATTTGCCAGTAAATATCTTACCGCGATGTTAATATCAAATGCCATGTCAATTAAATGCATTATAATCGAACATATTAAAAAAAATATATCTAAATTGGATACGCATGGTTGTCTTAGAGGGATATCCACGTCGTCGAAATCAAATTTTAAAGCTGGAAAAATACCGCCGATGTACAGGATATGTCTTCTATCATTTCTCTCTCTTTCTTCCATCATTTTATAAGAATTGAATAACCTCAAAAGTTGGCTTTTGCACAAGTAGATATCACGCCGTATATGTTATAATATTCATCCGTATTCGTTATAAATATAATTGTCTCATTTGTTTAAAATTAAAGTTGAAAAAGATTCTTGGTACATGTTTTTTATACATTATATATATTTTCCTCCCTCTCTCTCTCTCTCTCTCTCATTACTTCATGATGAAACGTGAACGTTTTGAAAAATTACAAATGGAATCTCAAGCAAGACGTTGGAAAACGTTCATTGGACAATTCAAGCTGCATATAAAATAGAAAAAACCGCTTATTACAAATTGAGAAATATTTTGAGATGAACATACGTGTATGTATCTATATTAATCAATATATAAATGTAAATATATATCTTTTCTGTATGTAATATTTAGATTGTTGTGTAAAAAAAGCAAGCAACACTGAACCCTTTACACGTAATTAAACGTACAGCGTTTGCTCAAGTTTAATTTTACTTTAAACAATAAATAGAAATAATTAAAGAGAGATATCATAAAAAAAAAGATAACTATGGCCGCACAAGTTATGTGTTTAACATCGTCGGGAGGAATTCCATTGTTTTCTCGTCAAAAGGGAGATAAAGAAATGGTTTGTTTTTGTGTTTTATATTTAAAACTATTTACTATTGTTTATTTAACCAGTTTAATCTCTAATTTCCTTCTAAAACATTTGTAGATAACTTTTTCTAAAATGGCATCTCTAAATGGCGTCCATATGTTTCTTAAAACGCAAAATATGAAGCTGCTAAATACAGATCTACCAGATACAGCTATAGTTTGGAAAGAATATGAACAAAGTATTATATTAATCATTATTGCAAATGGTGCAACAAAATATACCTTAAATAAATTTCTTGATGTTGCCTTTGGTGCGATGGTCTTATTCGTTGGTATAGATGAAATAAAAAATGCCAAAAATATAGAACGTTTAAAAAAAGATTTGCGCGGATGTAATCCGATTATAGATAGGCTTTTAGAGTGTTTAGATATCGGAGATCGAATTTGTACCAAAACAGATATTATTAATATGACGGAGTGTATAATTTTATACGAGAATCATCTGTTACAGGTATATAATTAATAATGTATTTAATATACATTACGTATCACTGGATAATCTCTACATGCATAATAAAACTTCTTCAAGACTTATTTAGAGGGATACATGGAATGTTTAGATTCAATGTACGGATGCGTTCTGGTACATGGTTGTTTAGCAGTAGCTACCAATGGATGGTGGTCCTTAGATCCTATAGAAAGAAAATTGTTAATAATGACAATAGCCACTGAAACTAACTACACGGCGCGTGATTTACCTATCTTTTTACCTTATAAAAGTCCTAACGCAAGTATTCTCATATCATATTACAGATTTAATAATAGAAATAAAAATAGAAATATATTTAAATTAGACACGATAGTGTTCATGCAAGTAAGAATTGAAAAGAGTCCTTCTTATAGCAGTCTATTTTTTTTTTTAGATAGCTTTTAGATTAGTATCCATTACTTTAATAAATCATGTAGAAGTAGTCTCTTTATGTGGACCAAACCCAGAGTTATCAGAGATCGAAAGATATGCTGTGCAATGTTGGAAAACAAGTATGGATATTTTACGTAATTCTGAGCAGTGTTATCTTAGAAACGTACCCGCAGCACTCTCCTTGGATATTAACGCATTAGGGTAATATGACTTTATTTGTTGAGAGAAAAAAAGAACAATTTTTTTCATTAATTACTATTTAAATGAAGAAATATTAAAGAGAAATGATTTTTCTAGATTCTTATTAGCAAACTGTAAGGTGGACAAATTTGTGCTTAGTAGAAATGCGCAAAGCACAAAAAATCGTGTCACAGGAACACACAGGTTAGATATTTTGAGAACATTTTATCATCAGGCAATAGAAATATTTATGCTTTCATCTGAATGCGAAGAAGGTAACATAGAGATGAACTTGGAAAGTAAGTGGAAATTTGTGGGTGCCAAGGAAACATACCTATGTTCGGAATATCATAAATGTCACGCTCTAAAATATGAAGATCACATACTCTGCGTCCTATATGCATCTGTAGTACCTACTCACACTATGAGATTGATTACTGAAAAAATTTTGAAAGTGTTATTAATCGATAAACAAATCTGTTGGTAAACATTGCAAGATTAAAATATAAACAAATAAGATATGTATTGCAGTATCATTCGTATGGAAGCTGCCAAAAAATATAAGAGAAAATAAATACCGTATAGTGCAGTTATTTACTTAAAAATAATTAATGCGAAAGGGATTCATAAGGTTGTCAAGTAATCATAATCATAATCATGTGTACACGTGCGTATTGACAAGTAGGATCGGTTTTGACAACCCAGCGTGACGTTTTTACCGATTGAGATCTTATTGGTCACCATTTGACTAAGTTCGGCACTCCTCTAGTAGTCGTAGAGTGCACTATTGCCTTAATCTGCCATCTTGCAACGTAATCAGCGTGAGAAGAAATCAGAAGAAAGAAAAAATTATCAGCTAATGTAATTAAAAGAAAAGGAAAAATCAATAATTAGTTTAATATTGGAGTTTATTTTATACGATATAAATATATTAAATATATAGAAAAATGTTAGCTGCATCATTCAAATTATTACTCAATGCGAAGAGAGTGAGTAGAAAAATTCATTAAAAATGAATAAACTAAAACGTTGATGATTATTTTTTTAAAATGTTATACTTATGAGACTAGTTATAGTACTATGATTGAATATGAATATGAATGAGCACAGATTGGCATATTTTTTGGTTTTGTTTTTGTTCTCATAGGTTAATTCATTAACTCGTCTTAAATCAACGTTAGTTATAGCAGAACATAATAATGAAGTATTGTCATCGATAACATATAACGTGTTAAGTGCAGCTAAACAAATTGGTGGTGAAATAACCATTTTAGTTGCTGGAACAAAATGCGATGGAGTGGCAAAGGCTATAAGCAATGCGAATGGCGTCAACAAAGTTCTTTTTACAAATAGCGAAGCATTTAAAGGATTTACTCCAGAAACATTGACGCCACTGATATTAGCGATGCACAACCAAAATAAGTATTCCCACATTTTAGCTGGTGCTAGTGCTTTCGGTAAATCATTATTACCAAGAGTAAGTACATTTGATAGATTTGCTTTGATGTATTTATATATTAATTTTTAGGCTCTCTTTAATAATAAATCTCATATTTATTCTCTAATCTATTCAATTAAATGATGTTTCAGGTAGCAGCAAAATTGGATGTTTCGCCGGTAAGCGATATTATTGGTATTAAAGGTCCGGATACTTTTATTCGCACTATTTATGCTGGCAATGCTATACAGACCATTAAAGTGAAAGATAATGTCAAAGTTGTATCTGTGAGAGGTACTTCGTTTGAACCATTGCCCCTGGAAGGTGGTAATGCAACTTGTGAACTGGTTCCACCAGGTGATTGTAAAACGAATCTGGTTGAATTTATTAAGCAAGAAATTAGCAAGAGCGATAGACCTGAATTGACATCGGCTAAAGTAGTAGTTTCGGGAGGACGAGGTTTAAAGTCGGGTGAAAATTTTAAATTACTCTATTCCTTGGCTGATAAACTCAATGCTGCCGTTGGTGCTTCAAGAGCTGCCGTTGACGCTGGATATGTGCCCAATGACTTACAGGTTGGACAGACAGGAAAAATAGTTGCACCGGTATGTATTCAAATTGTGTATTTATCTATTGAAATAATATTACTGATTTAGATGAACCACAAATAAATTTATCATCATTTCGTTTTAGGACTTGTATATAGCAGTGGGCATTTCTGGAGCAATTCAGCATCTTGCCGGTATGAAGGATTCAAAGACAATCGTTGCTATCAACAAAGATCCAGAAGCCCCAATTTTTCAAGTAGCGGATTACGGATTAGTTGAGGATTTGTTTAAAGCTGTGCCAGAATTTACAAACAAATTGAAATGAATATTTTATTATATATTTTGTAAAAAGTGATAATTTTTAACCAGTAAGAAATAGTAACATACGATCGAAGAATGAACTTTATTCCATCGAGAAATTAGACTATCATAGTCTTTTATTTGATAGGGTGGGAGAAAAGAAAAAGAAAGAATATATATGGACGCATATTTTTGATATTTATATTTATCGAATTAAAATACATATATGGGAAATATATTTTGTGCAATATACAGTAATAAACGTGTTTTCTTATTCTACGATATTCTGCAGGTGAGCGCATGAAATATATTCTATTATTAATTCGACAAGAATTATACAGATGGCAATAATGGGTGGATTATGCGTGGCGCTACTAGCGCTCTGTATTGTTTTGTTATAAGCCAGTCGCGAACGGGACGATAAATATCTTTATGAATTTACGTTAGAGAACGTTAATTTTTTATAATACTTCAGTTTAAATATTGTTTTATCGGATAAGTTATATAATTAGACAGCTCTGACTATGTCAATGGTAAAATTATTTTGAAGGAATTTACAAATAGTAATATATAGTAGACGTCCGAAAAAAGAAATATTTCCTAACCGCTATATTTAATTGTTGACAACGTTAGTAGTTTGTAATTTGTATTATATTAATATAGTGATAAAGAGTATTATTTATTTTAAGAGACCCGACGATCACAGAAGAAAATGGAACAGAGAAGAGTACGAACGAATAGCTCTTCAGCGGCTCCAGGATGAAATTGCTGAAGAGGAATTAGGTATTCCGAAGCAGCCAGCAGTAAAGAGAGAATTACTTAAACAAAGGGATTATAAGGTCGACTTAGAATCTAAATTGGGAAAAAGTGTAGTTATTAATAAAAATACTCCATCTTCGCAAACAGGAGGGTGAGGATCAAATAAAGTGAAATATTTTAGTTCTGTAATGTCAATTAACACAATATTACTAATTAATATTAATCACGATATTACGTTTGCAGTTATTATTGTAATGTGTGCGATTGCGTTGTCAAGGACTCGATCAATTTTCTCGATCATATTAATGGAACGAAACGTAAGTATTGCATATAATCATTAAATATTTTATCATTATATAAACTTATATTTAATCATTCAAATTGTTAACAGATCAGCGTAATTTGGGTATGTCAATGAAGATAGAACGCTCTACGTTGGAACAAGTTAAAGCTAGATTTGCTCTTAATAAAAAGAAATTAGAGGAGAAGAAAAAAGATTATGATTTAGAGCAAAGAGTGAAAGAATTAAAAGAAGAGGTTTGTTTTTGTTCTTATATTTATTGTTGTGTTTAACAAATTTTTTAATATCTATTATAATTCTAAATAATGAATGATCGAGATTGAATAATACTGTAACGATAACAGCTGTATCTTATTAAGAAAATGGTATTTAATATTTATAGGAAGAAAAAATTAAAGAATATAGAAAAGAAAAGAGAAAAGATAAAAAGAGGAAATTAGACGAAGTCGACGAGGAAGATGCTGGACCGTCGGATGATATGGCTGCTATTATGGGCTTTTCTGGTTTTGGCTCGAAAAAAAAGTGATCATGACTTTGGCACAGACATTCGTGAAAAAATGTCTTAGTATAGGTTACTTTGTTATGTATCATTAAGCGTTGCAGCAATTGTGCGCACCATCAGAATAATTATTTATTTTAATATGACTGAAATAATAACCAATTAAAATCTGGTCATTATATCAAGTTTTAATTCAATCGTTAGTAAATTTTGTATACGAAATGAGACAAACATATCGATTAAATTTTAAAAAAGAAAAAGAAAGGAAAACTGTTAATATATGAAATGAATGGATCTAAGCAGGACTGATTCGTTCCTATCGGACGAAGTCGTAAGAGAAAAAGGGAGGGGACCCCTTATATACAGATTATTTCTGAAAATGTGAGCATAAACTTCGGAGATAGATTTAATACGCTAAAATAAGAAATGAAGTTCACATGAACATATGCCGTGTAATAAGGAACAGAGAACAAATCTCCTTGTACATATAATGTATACATATATATATATATATATATATAAGGGTATTTATACTGTTCTTATAAGGATTATATTTTATGGAATATAACTGCCTTGAGTTTCTGCAAATAAGAGTCGATTATTTTATTAATATTATTTACACTAACTTACATTATCTGGATTGCTTTACATTGTCTAATACAAATTACACCTAAAACTACACTATGTACATTAGTTACATTACCTGCAAATAAGAGAAACAACATTTACAGCTAATATTCACTCTTGTTTTACGATCTTATTATACTGGTTTTACAATTCGAATTCTAACTGTCTTTGCTTAGCCAACTCCTAACCGTTTCTATCTTCTGTCGCGTTATCAGCGTTACCGAGTCTCTCTAAATCTAATACGCCTGCGCGTCATAATTGTAACAGCAGCCGATTTAAATAATAGCTAACGGGGTGACGAAATATAAATAGTAATATTTCGTTACATATATATATATACAATTTATAATTACTCGGCTGAAATAATTTAATATCGAGATTATACCACATTCCCTAACCGTAACTATCCGTTTGACGATCGGTAATGTCAGAAACGCAGGAAATGGAGATGTTTAAAATGAAAAACAATATAAATTGAAAGTACGTTACGATAAAAATGAAAAGGATATACGCTTCGAGTTTCTTTCTTCCTTTCTCTCTTTAATAATCTCCCTACGAAGGCGATAGCATCTGTACAAGTTTAAAAGAGAGGCCTCTTAGGAGCTAAGGAGGAAAAGAGATAGCGAGAGGAGAAGTGGGAGGGAAAAGATTCTCTCTCGGGAAAGGTACTCACAGAGAAGATTCTTCTTTTTAGTCTTCGAAGAGCATTGCGCGCCGAAAGATCACCATCACCTCTATAAATTCCTATATTTAATAGCGATTGCGTAGGCGTAGACGTGTTAGAATATTAAGGAGCTTATGTCGGTAGGGCTTTACGACTTTAATCGCGCACTTTTTGCGCCTTTTTTTGGTCCCTTTGAAAATCGCAGTAGTATCGTCACGTTACTCGATTTCGATCGATCGAATAAACAGAAGTGCATCGTTTTCGCGTCACGCGAAGTGAGATTCTAACTTTTAATTTGTAATTACAACTTTTACTTTGCATTTTTAATGGAAATAAGATTTCTCTCTCTTGTTATTTTTATGATTATAACAAATGTACAATAAACAATCAATATTGGCGTATTGTACGCGTTAATTCGTTGTACGTAAATTCGTCGTATGTAATTGCAAAGTAATGTCAATTTTATAATAAGCGAAATATGAGCGGCGTGGATAATCGAATTTAAAGATTCATTAGATGCTTAAAGATTTGCAATTACTTAAGAGATATATAGATATATGAAAGAGGCGATATGTCGGAAGCGGTAATCATATTCACATTAAAAAATTGTATTCTACGAAAATCATTGAACTTGGAATTCGCGTCAAAGAGTAGGAAAATGTGATGTTTTTATACGAAGGAAAAAGAAGAAGGAAGTGTGAATCAATGGAATAATATCTGTAATCTAAGGACGAAATTAAATCGTTTGGAAAATGTCGCGTACGATGCTGCAGCCTATCGAGGAATCCATGTCTGGTAAATCAGGTAATTACTTATTTTAAATATTTCTTTTTTCTATATCAATATACATTGGTATTACACAGAAAGAGTCTTTTTTGCGTCAAGCCGTTTTTCCGCCGAACTCTCTCTTTCAAAGTTATTTAGTTTGTATATTAGATTTACATATTGAAACCATAGGATGTTTCTTTCCATTTTCGACGATGCGCACTTTCCCTTTTATTTTCCGCGGAAGTGAAAATGGTCGGTTGTGAAAGACGTCGTTTATTTACACGGCGTTTGATCACGCACAATTCTTCTTCCGAACTCTCTTATTTTCAAAATAGTTGTAAGCAATTCTCTGAGATTGGAGTAGTTTTATTTAAAAATGATTAGGAGTAATTGTAACAAATAGCTTGTATAAATAATAAGAAAATTGATAAGAACACGGGGTGTTATTTGGTCTGACAGGAAAGGAAAGGAAAGGAAAGGAAAGGAAATAATATACTGTATAAGCAAAGGAATGTGAAATGTTCGTTTGCAAGCTGGTCACGAATAAGAGCTAGATCCATATCATCATGCACTTAGGTTCCTCCCGTTTTTCGCCAACGAAAGCTATTCTTCTCTGTAAAATTGAACGTCGTGGACGAGAAAGAGTAGAACCGTCGATAGAAATAATTGAAATAGAAATAGTTGAAATAGAAATAGTTGGAACAGATTCGATTAGATTGGCCGTAGTCCATTTGTATGAGAAATATTGAATCGATCGTTTGTCATGGTTTAAAGCGCCATGTTAGTGGGTCGCGTACGCGAAGGTATTTTAGATCTTATGAACTTGACCGTTAATTAAATGAATGGATATTATTATCGAAGCGAAGCACGACCACAGGAAGCGTGAAGAACGTCCGGTGGTGGTGGTGGTGTTCGTTTGATCCTCGAACGATCATGGTGGCCGAACTCATGGATATTTCTACGAGGAGTGTCGCCGAGTGGGCAGCAGTTGGAGATACTCGCGATAAACATTGGAGAAGACCGAAATGGATCGAGACTGCGACTCGCGAACCGATCTACAGCATTCTCGACGTTAACGAGTTGACTCGAATCACCCTTATTCCGAGAGGAATTCCCTTGTTGTCGTGTTGGAACGCGTTGGAAAAACCTTACCAAATCGTCCTACCCTACGACTAGATTCAGAGGAGCACGCGTTTTATAGCCTTGTTGAGAAGGTAAAAAAGGTGCGTAAGAAAGAAGGGAACAACGAAATGAAGACTAACGTGAACGATACCGAAGATGGCAAGGACGACAGGAATGATCAAGGTTTTGGTCAAGGCTTTGGTCAAGCCGCAGTTGACCCTGATTCCCGTTTAACCGCTGTAGTCGTTCCCAGAGGTATCGTCGGTTTGGTCGGACCGTACAGAGTTTATCAAAATCCTAACGAGAGAAGAGAGTATATGCTGCGAGAGGAAGAACTCGTCGAGGAGATCGTAGATTCTGACAGCGTTTCTCGGGAAGCACCTAATTGGAGAGCAAAATGGAAGATCAGAGAGGACGACGAGGAAACCTTGGTCCCTGATATTCCTCATGTTCCCACTTTTCAAGAATCCGGTCAAGAGTTGGATATATCCGAGTTGGATTCCGAATGGAAGATGATCGATGAGCGTTGTTGCATCGAGGACGAGATCGAAAATTCCAACAAAGTCGAAGAAATTCTTTCTGGTAACAAGTCCGAAATTTCGTTTGATGACATTGCATCGAAGAAAGAAAAGGGTAAGCAGCAAAAGTACCAAAGACACATTTTTCCACCGTGTCTATCAGAGAATATGGCTTTCATTTGTATGCGAGACAGACCGTGTAAGTAAGTCTGTGTCATAAGAAGTAGTCTCTGTTGCCGTACGACATATGGCACATTGTGTCGTGAATAGAAAAGCGAATAGCGGTAGTAAGCGACACCTGTTTCACCAGTAGATTTATACGTATTGTACCTATCTATCTACCTACCACCTGTGTCCCGTGATCTTTCGTTAGGAAAGATCGTTCGATGACGAGTCGCGCTTCTAATTATAATCCTAATTTAAGATACGCCTTTTTTTTTCTTCCTAATCGTTAACCTCTTTTGGATTTCATAGTATACATTTTCAGGTATAGATGTATCATTACAAATCTCTCCTCCAGCTTCTTGCTGTTATTTGCACGATTAACGTTTATTACTTTCGTCATAAAAATCCTACAACGGTATTTTCATGTCACGTATGTATTTAAGGAAGTAATTGGAAGACATCTGCTGGTATGAAGCAGCAATCATAATAGTCAAAGCATATGGAAGAATTATCAAAAGATGATTGAAAGATGTACAATTAGTTGTAGTACATTTACAAAAGAGAGTAGTCGCGTAATCGCTTCCGTTAATCTTACGACATAATGTGAATTTTGTCGTCGTTTACCTATAAGACGTTACATTTTTGCAAAGCAATAAATAAATAATAAATCACACATTCCTTTGATTTCGAATGTGACAGGTGTTGTAGACGTAGGCGCTCTTTATGAGGACACGCATGTAAAATGCATGCTTCGTGTGAAAGTAGTCCTGCACGTGATTCTAAAGTGCGGACAAGAAGTTGGTTCAAACTTTCATCAAATTTTGTTTCTCGTTTGGACCACTTTCGTCTCTCTCTCTCTCTATCTTTCTCTCGCGTTGATCGTAAGGAGGTACGCGAGTGCTTTCGTTAGCGAAATTTCCAATTGGATCAGGAATCGAAAGAAAGCGGACGATGGGTAAGGATTAAAAGGAGGCTACGGATCTCGACGCGATCGATAAGCAATGTTGTCAACGGTCTTTCTGTTGGTAGCATCGTAGCGACGACGATTCTCGATACTCTTCTTATTTTACTTCTACCTTATTTGATTTATTCTTTAACCGTTAATCTAAGCGATTTAATATATCCACCTATGTTATCTCTTCTTACATTTTCTAGTATACCTAGAGACAAGTAATTTTAACCTTTTTTTGATAAAAATCAACCGTTATACGTGTATAGGTACTCGCGATCTTCTTCCGTATAGTCTTCCGTCAAGCATATGTCGCGACTCGGTTATGTTTGTCGGCCACCAACTGACGGAGGAACTTGACTCTTGACATTTGACTCTTTTCAACATCAAAGTGCATATCCTCTGCATCATTTTGATCCCTTGATTTCACGAACAACGGTCAGAGAGTATAGAGAGAAAGAAAGAGAATGTTCTTCAACGGGTTCTTCCTAAGATGAGATAACGGAATACGTATAGCATCCAAGAGAGCTTATTAAACATCATTTCACGAGCGTTCGAAGCTACTTGGCCCGTTTCTACCCAGGAACGAATGGACGATCGAAATTCTCTTTTGCTTTTTTTTCTCATATTTATTGTATTCATTTATTGCATAAGATAGAATTCCAAAGTAAATTAAAGCGAGAGCAACGTACGTACATTGTATTGTAATCATGTATAAATATAATCAGCTGCGCCACACGTTTTGCATATTATTATGGTATTACAAAATTATAAAGTATGTAATCAAATATCGTGGTCGCGAGAAACTTCTTACAATAAATATGCATTCGCTTTGCATATTGCGGTGAATGCTCGATTGGCTTTCATTCACTATTTCTAGTTTCTTTATTCAAGCGTTCGTATATTACAAATTTCCAAATTCGAGAGATCTTTGAATCTTGTTTTTTTTCTTTTTTTATCGCAACACTTGTATAATCGAACAATCACACTTTCTACAAAATTGCATCTTAGACAAAGAGATCAAGAGATAATAATACAAATAAATGAGACGCGATCACAAAATTACAGTTAAATATATTTAGAGTTGCTAATTCAATAATGCACTAAGAGACAATCTGAAAAAAAGTTCTGTTTTCCCCGGAATGAATTACATGCTTTTGCTCTTGTACTAATTGCACACGATTTTACGCATCGAAAGATTATACTTTTACTCGAAGATTTACTCATCGGCCGTAGAAGCTTGCGCACTAACGAGTTAGCGCACTAACGAATTAGCGCACTAACGAATTTGCGCAGTTGCGACTGCGGCAATGAAGCTTTCGATGATCATACTCTCGATGTTTCAGCAAGCAACGAACAACAGGACAAGGACAGTTTGAACGAGACGGCGAGTACAGCGGGTGGCAACGTCGTCGAGGGTATACCAAGCGGTACACCTGGGAGGGCTCAGAGGAATAACGATAACGACGAGTCCGCACCAGCGCAGTTATCTTCCTCTTCGCCGCCATCGAGATCTTTAGTATCCAGGATTCTTGCGAGAGCACGATCGCCAAACGATTTGCTCGACCATACCGATCCATTGTAAGAACCCCTATATATGTTATACCTATATAATATTTACTTACTTACTTATTCTATTTACATTTTATTGTCTGAATTATGACAGTTCTCAATTATGGATCGTTCTTTCCAATGTGTACGGAGAATTGGTGATAGTGGTAATGATGGCACTATGTTTAGCCGAAGTCATGGATACGCCCGTTCCTCTTCTCAGCTTGCAGGTATGCCAATTTATATTTTTCACACGTTTATATAAATAATATATGATATAGGAAATATCATTTCATTTTAGGGTATTTTTTTGATGTATCTCTACGTCGGAAGTATCGCTGTTATCATCGGTATATATATTTGGGTGTTGATCGATAGCTGTGCGAGTCTTAACGGTATTAGAAGTGACGTGGAAATCGGTGCTACCTCTATTACGAGGTTCGGATCATTGAAACGTGCTCATATTTCTCGAGCTAGAACAGCACCCACGAGCTTTTACATCCGCGTCGGTGCACTTCGTAAGTAGACTAATTAGATCTTCCTCTTATGATGGGATTTATTCCTAAGCAAAAATCGATTAATTAGATATATTTTTCAAGTATTTGGATTAGCTACTCTGGTCTTCAATGGTTTAGAAATGGCAATGCACTCGATGATGCAAGGCGCTGAATGCTTGACCGATGTCATTTTTGCGCACCCTGTATTGCACGGATTATTTACCTTTTTACAAATGCATTTTTTATTCGTTAATTCTCAGGTAAGACATGAGGATACGTGAAATTTCATTGATACCAACGATGACGATGATGATGATTACATTGATTGCGTTATTTTCGCTTTGTCATTTGTTGCTCACTAGGTGCTCGTCGAAAGATTCGGTTTAGCTGCCAGATTTGGTTTTACGCATCTTGCAGCGACGAACATAGCCGTCTGGGTGCGTCTTGTTATTTGGGACTCTGCGCAAGAGTGGACTTATTTCGTATATTTGGCTCAACGAGGACCTCATACGTCTGCTGCATCCACTTTGAACCTTCGCGGATTTCCCGGTTCTTTAACGAGAAACTCTCGTGATCTTTTAGGTAAGTCAATCCTATTTTATCTTTCTCTCTTATCATATCTTATATATATCTCTCTCTCGCACATTATTTACAGTCGATCCCTCGTCGGAAGATAGGTCGATGTTCAGGCCGTATCGACCCATTTCTAATGAACAAATTTCCCAAGTGATCGCCTTGCAAGAGTGTTTAAACACGAATACGCTTGGACAATTGTGGACATCGAGTTTACCATTTCTTTATCCTTTCATCGTACAATTTAGGTTAGTTATTTTCAAGACGTTATGGATTGCACCAAAATCTAACTTAAAACTCGCTTAAAACTTGCTTAAAACTCGCTTAAAACTCACTCACTTATTATTGTTCATTTTTAGCTTAATCGCAGCCGCCGTAACATTTGTCATGGGACAAAATGTGGGTCGAAGTCGCATAACGCAGAAACAAAAGTTCCACGCCGTTAGCAAGGATTTAACGAGTCACTCGCGAGTAGGTTGCGATGGATCTAGCAAGGGTCTCTTCCTTGGAATACTCTGCATGGTAGCCGGTATCGTAGTCATCTTGATCTTCCTAGTGGTTAGGGAGGACGAACATTTCTCGAATATTACTTTGTCTTGGTTGACATGCGGTACCTTAATCGGGATTCTGGCATTAAGCGGTTTGATGACATCAACCGGCTTGATACAAATTCGTCAAATGCCCGTAGTAACGAGCAAGGCACCTGCCGCTCTCGACAGCCTCCTCTCGAACGTTGCCATTTTCGGAGTTCAACTGTATTCTATTTTCACGATCGTGGTATGCGCTTGTTCCTTGGCTTTATTCGAAGAAGAAAACGAAGAAGAAAGAGAAGCCCAATCAAAGGATGGAAACGCGAGGCAGACGCGCGGTAGACATATCATGTTACTGTCGGTTTCGATCCTACAATTGATCCAATGTTTCGCGCAAAGCACCTTGATTGCCGAAACATCAAGGAGATCCTGCATTACGCGATTTCAAATGTTAGCCAAACCAGGACGTCAGGTCATCACTTTCCTTTTATTCACTAATGCCGTTTTATGGGCTTTCGATACTGTAATCACGCAAAACTGGTTATCCCAAGAGTTGCAATTAAGATTTTTCGGCGTTCTTGTTTGGGGCATTTTATCGAGAATCGGATTACCGTTATTGATATTCTATCGATTCCACAGTTGCGTACTTTTATTAGAAGCCTGGAACAAATGCTATAGAACGCCCATAGGTGAACATCCGCTCAACTGACGGCGGCACAGAAAGCATTCGTTCGATCGCTCTTCGAAACTTTTCCAAGACTCGCGGAATCCTATTTGTCCGCTTTATTCGCATTACTACCAAGGGATGCTAGTCGATGTTAAAGAAGAGGATAAAGGAATATCTTGCATGGTAGAAAAGATTCCGAAGAATAGTAGTCTATTACTAAGTAACACTGAATTAACATTGAGTTCAAAACATTTTATTCCATACATCGATAGTTCTAGCTGGCTTTATGTAGATCCTAATCCTATTTTCCGCGTTGCTACTCCCGCGGCGTGTACTCAATATTTGAAATATGCCATGCCGCCACCGAAAAGAAAAATCCATCACCATCATCATCATCATCCACATCATCATCATCGTCGTCGTCGTAGTCGTCGTCGTTGTAGTCCTCGATACCACGAAAGACATCGCCGAGTAATGAGTGATCCAGGTAGAGGACCTTGGAATTATCTCGATAATCCTTCTCAAACGAAACAACATCGAAGAGGGTTCAGTTTCAGCGAATATGATAATGAAATGCCTGCTCTGTTAGAGCAAACATCGATGATACGGACTAACGAGGATAAGTTTTTTCTACCGTCCGAAGAAACAAGCGCATCGACTTTTAGGAAAGTGCCATGGCACCTAAATTTACATATGTTGAAAATAAGAAGAACGTGAAATGCCCTTATGTGCTATATTAGACATTTTTTAACAGTGACATCAAGTTTATTTATATAGTATGCACCTTGGCTTTCATCTTTCAATTCGATCATATGAATATCTTTATTGCATTTAACGCGACAACGCAGCTTGCTTTATTTATTTCATTGAAACTATATTTTGTACATAAATAAATATCGGAATTACTAATTTATGCTCTGTGGAAAGTAAATTGACAATGAGTTAACAAAGTTAACTGAGCCGATCGACTCTACTATTTATCTGGAATTTGTTCGAACATTTATATTTTATTAAAATAAGATTCGATGTTATTATATTAAGAATGATTTATATCAATACCATTTACTATTTTCTCATTCCTATCATTAGGATAATATGATGTTTTTCTTATTTATTTGTATTATTTATTAAACGTTACTTGCGCAACATAGCTATGCTATATATATATATATATATATATATATATATAACGTGTAAATACTTGCTATATAACGTATATACATGTTGAAGGTGCTTTAGAAATTGCTACTGAAATGCAACTGAAATTGAAACGTTTGAAAAAGAAATGCACGTCCCACCGTGTTGCGACTCAATTATTACTTAGAAAATCGTTATAATGACAAGTCAGGTATAATAATCAAGCAATTAATATTTATAGTAAAATATCTTTGACGTTCCTTCATTTTCCAAACAAATTATGAAAATAGACTACTGCAATGTGTGTAATCAATCGTGTTAATATTTTCAATCTAATTATATCGAATTTGACTGAAAAAATATTTTTTTTTGTATAATAATACGTAATATTTCAGATAATATACTTTATAGATTTAACACGATCAAAAATGAATATATTTACGTGCAAAGCAGCATGAAGAAAGTCAACCAAGTTACGAAACAGCTAAATGATGATAAATGCGTGGGTGAAGAGTGACGCGAATATATCTTGAAAATAATGTTACGATGAGGCAGAAAGCCTTCATCGATTTTCCTTATTAGCTCGATATCCGATTAGCTATTTTCAAAGGGCTAAAGGGCTTTTCATAATAATTAGAAAGAATCAAAAATATCATCGAAAAACAAACTCTATTTTATGTATGAGATATTTCCAAGACTAAAAACATTGTATAAGATAAAAATACATGTACCAACTTGTACGGTATAGCACGCTTAATCAAGACCAACATCATCCTGAGGTTGTTGAGAAGACTTTGAGGTATTAAATTGCGGAGCGTTTCTAGCAGAAGAACCTGATATCTTGCCCATCATTTTCAATAAGTCATTAACATCGAAGCCACATTTACGTCCTAATTTTTCAATGAATTCAACGGTCTTTTTATTTTGACATAATTTCAAAAAATTCGATGGATTTTCATCAATATTTTTGAAAGCTTCGAATATCTCTGGATCCTGAAAAGTAATATTTCGTTAAGATACCTGCCTAGTATACACTATTAATATACATCATTAGTATGCATAAATAAATGCGTCGTGTGAAAACGTATGCGGGCTCTAAAGCACCCTTTAGAAAACAAGTTCACGAGCTTACCAGAAAACTTTCGAGTAGTTCCGGATCTTTTATAAATTGGGATATATCTTCTTCTGCGTTCGCTTTTGCAGGCTTCTTCTCTTTCGCTTTTTTCACATTTTCGTCTTCCGCCGTTTGTTTGAACTTTTCTTCGAGCTTGCGTTCTTTCTTCCTTTTATGTTCTTCGATCTTGCGAGCCTGCAACGATACACATATTATTCCAATGACAATTCTGATTATTGTTAACATTAGGGAGAAGGTAGGTATTAGGGAAGAAAAATTAGAAAATAAATGAAACATCAAGATTTAGATATTCTACGATGCATACAATAGCAATTTTCTCTGATATAATCGCGCAATCAAAGGGTTAACTTGAGATATAATTTCAGGAACGCATCCAACGACTAAATCATTATGACGTGAACATGCCTGGGGCGCAAGGTACATTGTGACCTCACATGATTATACAGGCTTATTATAGACGGCAGAGCAGCCAATTTGGCTAGCAAATCTGTTCTTAAGAATGGAAAAACAAGTCTAATATGTTTAATCTTATTACACTGGAATACTTATCAATAATTATCGATTATTATATTATATTACAGGGTAGAATCCCTTAATGATAACTCACAATTTACCAATTACTCTAATTCCATCATACAAATCTTGATTGTCAGGTTCGAGGGAAACGTCATAAAACGATTAATTGTACTTTTTAATGACGTGTTTATTGACAAGAAGAATTAGGAGAGCGGTCACGGTGCGAGCGAGAGCAACAGTAGAGTTAGAGGCGGGGTAGGGAAGAGGTATAAGAAGTTTTGCACGAGTGGCCACCTTATACGGCGGCGACCCGGGCATCTAAATATAAAGGTGGTCGCCGTTGCGACGATCCTTTCTGTCTGATGCGAAAGCGACCATCCGAGCGCACCTCTAACGTTATGCAAAAAGATATCGCATAATGAACAGAACGATGATTTATCCTAAGGAAACACCTACTGACATAAAACGCGATTGTCCGAGTTGTAACTCGATTACCTCTCCATTTTCTGCAATATGCAAAAGAAAATATGATAAAAGCTTAAATTTTGAAGAATTACAGCTCGTGCTCGCTGCTGCTTCTTAAACCTCACGACGAGCGTATATTTAGCGTATATTTAGCTTATTTGTTTATTATCATAAACGTTGAATAAACCAACTTTGTTCTTATGTTTTTTCACCTTTCGTTTAGTTTTTTGTCGAAGGATAAAAAAAAAAGCAAAATGCCAACAATTAACATAATATAGGCACATGAATATTGATGATTCGTGTGGTAATGTCAGGGTTGCGTTTACAAGATGAATGAAAAAAGAAAGGAAAAGCGAAGAAACAAGGCATAAGTATGCGCGGCGGACGAAATTTCTTGAGCAACGGAGAGGGGTGTCATCAGGGTAATACGACGGTAGTACGACGGATGCCAGTTCTCCGCAAGCGAGTTAAGCTCCTCGAATTCGAGCGTCGCGAGTGAGAGAAGCTACCAGCAGCCTGGCTCATCTTTTAGTGTCTAGTGTAACGATATGACGGGCTCGTGGCTGAGACCCGCGTTCTTCGTGGGCCTCTTCCTGAGCTTTCTAGCCATTGCTTTGCAGGGTGAGTACGCATTCATTTTTCCATTCTATTGATACGATATAATTACTGACTTTCCATATTCCTTGCACCCTTTTCAAACGTTTCATCGTCTATTGCTTCCTACGTTAATCCTTCCGTTCGATTCTACTGCTTCTGCTTCTGCTGCTGCTGCTGTTGTTGGCTCCTGCTACTCCTGTTACTATTACTACTACTACTACTACTACTACTACTACTACTACTACTACTACTACTACTACTACTACTACTACTACTACTACTACTACTACTACTACTACTAC